GGTGCTAAGGTCGCAAGACTACCACAAGGCTTCATAAAAGCTCTACCAAAGAAGGTGGAATCAAGCTTTCTTCCAACCAAAAGGACCGAGGAAGGTTTCGACCCTAACGCCTACAAACTCATGTCAAAGGCCGGGTACGACTTCACTTCTTCTGTGGTGGCTGGAAGGAAGGTTTCAAACACCGTCAATGACGAAGAACGTAACCTTACCAAAACTCAAAAGAAGTTGAAGGAGCATGGTTACGGAGTTGACAACAACAAAGCCGGACTTGGTTTCACACCAAATGCACCTGTGATGATTTCAAACAAAGCGAAAAACACTAGCGCTCAACACATCAGCGTGAGCATTGAACAAGACCAAGAAGAGCCTAAACCCTCCCCTCAGACGTTGGTCTTCGATAGGATGAGCCATTCAAGCTCCAGAACTTCAGTGTTTAATCGCATTGGTGGTCAAGACCAAACCTCTGTCTTCAAGAGGCTTAACGCGCCAACATCCCAAAACTCTGTTTTTGAACAGTCGTTAAAGCTTAAGAAACAAAGCAGCACAGTTATCTCTCCTCTGCGACGATCAGCTTCAGAAAAATTTGAAGATAATGAGAAGCCTTTTGGAAAGAGGAAGACAACACCAAAGGAAGAAAAGCTCGATGGGGTAGGAGAAAAAGATGACGTTCGAAGCTTGATTCCTTCAAGGATGAAGCGCCAAGCAATCTTGGAGGTCGACACAAAGGGACCACTGAAAGTGAGAAGGCGTACTATCATCCACACCAGACAATCCTTATGCCAACAAGCTCGAGAAGACAACACTGAAGAGGAGATCCAAGATGTTTTCCACATCACGGTTCAAGAAGGTAAAGAAGACGAAATCCCCGAGGAAGATGTCACTGCTGCACCACCACAGCTCGAAGACGGGGGGCAAGCCACGGTCGATGATCTCAAGGAACTCAACTTAGGTACAAGCAAGGAACCAAAGCCTATCTTCGTAAGTGCATTATTAAGTACAGATGAGATAGAGGAGTATTATCAGCTGTTGTTAGAGTACAAAGACGTCTTTGCCTGGACCTACAAAGAAATGCCCGGCCTGGACCCTATCATCGCTGTTCATCATCTTGCGGTCAGGCCTGGAACACGACCGATAAAGTAAACTCAAAGACGCTATCGATCTGAGCTTATCCCACAAATCGAGGTCGAGATCGACAAGCTAATCGAAGTAGGCTTTATTCGAGAAGTGCAATACCCCAAGTGGATCTCCAACATCGTCATTGTCCTTAAGAAATCAGGACAAATACGTGTTTGCGTAGACTTCCGGGACCTCAACGATGCTTGCCCAAAGGACGACTTCCCCTTGCCAATCATTGAAATCATGGTGGATGCAACCACTGGCCATGAGGCATTATCATTCATGGATGGCTCTTCTGGGTACAATCAAATTCGCATGGCCCTCGAAGACGAGGAACTAACAGCCTTTCGTACTCCAAAAGGTATTTACTGCTACAAGGTGATGCCCTTTGGTCTAAAGAACGCTAGAGCTACGTATCAACGCGCAATGCAGAAAATCTTCAATGACATGCTACACAAAAACGTAGAATGTTACATAGATGATATGGTGGTTAAGACGAAGAAAAGATCAGACCACTTGAAGGATCTGCGAATAGTGTTCGAAAGGCTGCGAAAATACAACCTCAAGATGAACCCGTTAAAGTGTGCGTTTGGCGTCACCTCTGGAAAATTCCTCAGCTTCATCGTCAAGCACCGTGGTATTGAAGTAGACCAATCAAAGATCAAGGCCATTCAAAGCATGCCTGAGCCAAGAAACCTGCACGAGCTGAAAAGTCTACAAGGACGGCTAGCCTTCATTAGACGCTTCATCTCCAACCTCGCAGGGCGTTGTCAACCGTTCAGTCGCCTTATGAAGAAAGATGTCCCATTCGTATGGGACAAAGCGTGCCATAATGCTTTTGAAAGCATAAAGAAATATTTGTCAAGTCCACCTGTCCTGGGGGTACCTGTGCCCGGGAAACCACTCATATTGTATATTGCTGCTCAGGAAAATTCAATCGGAGCACTCTTGGCGCAAGAGAATGAATCCCAAAAAGAAGGAGCACTTTACTACCTCAGTCGGACTCTCACCGGCGCTGAGTTGAACTATTCCCCAATAGAAAAGATGTGCCTCGCTTTGGTGTTTGCCATTCAGAAACTCAGACATTACATGCATGCTTACACCATCCACTTGGTTGCTAAAGCCGACCCTGTCAAATACGTTATGTCTAAGCCAGTCTTGAAGGGGCGACTCGCTAAATGGGCTTTGCTTCTTAATCAATATGAGATCATCTACGTCTCAGCTAAAGCCGTCAAGGGACAAGCGCTAGCAGACTTCCTTGCCAATCATCCAATCCCGGCTGATTGGAAAATCTCAGACGACTTGCCTGACGAAGAGGTGTTCTACATCAATATTTTCCCGACATGGACGATGTTCTTCGATGGATCCGCACGAGCAGACGGAGCGGGGGCAGGAGTAGTATTCATGACGCCACAAAGGCAAATACTACCTTACTCCTTCCAACTGAATGAGCTATGCTCCAACAATGTTGCTGAGTACCAAGCATTGATAATCGGGCTCCAAATGGCGATCAACATGGGAGTCACAGCTCTTGAGGTGTATGGCGATTCCAAGCTCATAATCAATCAACTCTTAACTGAATATGAGGTGAGGAAAGATGATCTCGTCCCATACTTCCGGCTAGCGACCCAACTGCTACAAAAGTTCGAAGCTGTGACACTAGAACATGTGCCAAGAAAGGAAAATCAAATGGCAGACGCTCTCGCCAATCTAGCCTCGAGTATGACACTAGGAAAAGATGAAGTTGCAGACGTGCCAGTTTGCCAAAGGTGGGTGATTCCGCTCGTTAATGAAATGTCACTAGATGATACAAATGTCATCTCAGTACTTCCAGTCGATGCTGAAGAGTGGAGATAGCCGCTGATCGACTACTTAGAGCACGGAAAGCTTCCAGATGATCTTAGACATCGTTCCGAAATACGTCGACGAGCACCTCGCTTCCTTTACTACAAAGGAACACTCTACCGACGCTCTTTTGAAGGAGTACTCCTGAGATGCCTAGGTGAGGAAGAAATTAATCAAGCCATGGAAGAAGCACATTCAGGTGTGTGTGGGGCACATCAGTCTGGACCAAAGCTACATTTCCGGCTTAAAAGAATGGGTTACTACTGGCCAAGTATGGTGAAGGACTGCCTAGAACATGCCAAAAGGTGCCAAGCCTGCCAATTCCACGCCAACTTCATACATCAACCGCCTGAACCATTACACCCTACAGTTGCTTCATGGCCGTTCGACGCATGGGGATTGGACGTTGTAGGACCAATTACGCCAAAGTCATCTGCAGGGGAAGCTTACATCCTAGCTGCAACAGATTACTTCTCCAAGTGGGCTGAAGCCATACCTTTAAGGGAAGTAAAAAAGGAAACTGTTGTTCGTTTCATCAAGGAGCATATCATCCACCGATATGGGGTGCCTCGCTACATTATCACTGACAACGGAAAGCAGTTCTCCAACCGACTCGTGGACGAGCTTTGTGACAAATACAAGTTCAAGCAGCATAAGTCTTCCATGTATCATGCTCCGGCCAACGGTCTCGCAGAAGCATTCAACAAGACACTGTGCAACCTCCTGAAAAAGGTAATCGGCCGAACAAAGAGAGACTGGCATGAAAGAATAAGTGAAGCACTTTGGGCATATATGACTACACATAGGACTCCTACCCGAGCTACACCTTATTCTCTTGTATATGGCGTAGAAGCTGTTCTACCGCTCGAAAGTCAAATCCCTTCACTAAGGATGGCTATACAAGAAGGCTTGACTGATGAAGAAAATGCAAAGTTGCGCCTTCAAGAGTTGGAAGTGCTGGATGAGAGAAGGCTCGAAGCTCAACAACACTTGGAATGCTACCAAGCACGGTTATCCAAGGCATTCAACAAGAAAATCCGCCCAAGGTCTTTCCAAGCCGGAGATCTCGTGCTAGCATTGCGTAGGCCTATCATTACAACTCATAAGACAAAAAGCAAGTTCACAACAAAGTGGGATGGACCCTACGTGATACAAGAGATCTACACCAATGGCGCCTACTTAATCATGGCAGAAGACGGGTTGAAGATCGGCCCCATCAACGGCAGATTTTTGAAGCGCTACTACCCCTAAAGCAAATGCACCACGCTCCTGGCCCGCAAGAGCATAAACTGTGTACGGCAAAATCATCATCAAAACCATCACTCGTTTGAACTACGTTATGACTTGATCTCTTCTTTGGAAGAGTACGTAGGCAACTTGAAACTTCAAAACTTCAAGTACAGTCACATCAAAATAAATAAATAAATGTTTCATTAAAGAAAGTCAATTTTATTACAAAAGAAAAGAAAAAAAAATACATATGTTACTATGTATTAGAAAAAAAAAAAAATATATATATATATATATATATATTCTCTACTCAAAAAAAAAAAAAAATATGTTATAATACAAATAATAATAATGGCAGTGGGCTGGATTGTTGAGGATAAAGCCCAAAACCATGATTGGGCTGGATTGTTGATGATAAAAGACAAAACCGTGAGTGGGCTGGATTGTTGAGGATAAAAGTCCAAAACCGTGAGCCTATTGGCATCAGCCCAATGGCGTCCTTCTTTTTCCTCGCACCCATGCCCAGCAACCTTTCCACTACTATGGAAGTGAAGCACCAGCTTTGCTGCCTCACTCCGACTCACCAGCGCTACGCCCTCGCCAAGGCCCACATCGCTTATATTAGCTCCCTCAGAGAAATCGGCCGCTCTCTGCATCAATTTATCGAGCAGGAGGTGGGCAATCCAACCAGGACCCGTCGTCCCCCACCCGTCCAGAATCTGTAGATATGCCTGTTAGTTCAAGCCCCACTGAAAAAGTCAAAAGCTCTCGTTCTGTACATCAGGACGATGAAGTATTGCCTGCAATTCCATCCCAATCCTCTGGACTCCTACTTGCATTTAAATCTTTCCCCATGAAAGTTATCCACACCTGCAGTATGTTCATCATCTTCTCAACTCCCCACATCAAAACCAGATCTCTCAATTGGGTTTTCCTCCAATGTTTCACATGAAGAAATTGTTTTTTTTGACACAATGAACAGAACCCAGGTGCTAAATTTGATTCTTGCACTGACTTCATCAACAACTTTGGTGTTTTTCCTACTTTTCATCTACTTTTACTGCAAGAAAACTGCAAAGAGTGAGCAAAAGGATATGGAAAAAATAGAGCAGAAGCAAGAGGAAGTCGTGGAGGCAGAGGAGCTGGTGACTTTTCAGGATGGGGATGACTTAACAATATGTGACATTCTGGATGCTCCGGGGGAAGTGATCGGAAAATCAAACTTCGGTACGCTGTATAAGGCCCTGTTGCAGAGCAGCAACTCGGTGAAGTTGCTGAGGTTTTTGAGGCCTGTTTGCACTGCAAAAGTTCAAGATTTTGGTGAAGTTATTCGGCTTTTGGGGTGCATAAGGCATCATAATTTGGTCCCTCTTTTGGGATTTTATGCAGGGCCGAGAGGTGAGAAGCTTTTGATTCATCCGTTTTATTGGCGCGGCAATCTGGCTCAGTTTGTGAGAGAAAGCAATCCTGACTCTCACAAATGGCCCATAATCTATAAAATCTCAGTTGGTATAGCCGAAGGCTTGGATCACCTTCACACCGGCTTTGAAAGGCCGATAATTCACGGCAATCTCAAGTCGAAAAACATACTCTTGGGTCACCATTATTGCCCTTTCATATCCGATTTCAGCCTCCATCTTCTGCTGAATCCAACTACTGGCCATGAAATGCTTGAAGTCTCGGCATCCGAAGGCTACAAAGCACCTGAGCTGATGAAAATGAGGGATGTGAACGAAGAGACCGATATATACAGTCTTGGGGTTATCTTGCTTGAATTTCTCACAGGGAAGGAACCCATCAACCAAAACCCTACAACTCCTGATAAGGATTTTAGTTTGCCAGATTTCATGAGAAATGCAGTGCTTAGACATAGAATTCATGACTTGTTCCATCCAGATTTGCTTCTCAATAGCAGCGCTGGCTACGGAGAAATCCCCGTCACAAAAGAAAGGATTCTCAAACTCTTTCAGCTTGCTATGGCATGTTGTGCTCCTTCTCCATCACTTAGACCGAACTCCAAGCAAGTTCTGTCGAAGCTTGAAGAAATTGGAAACTGAAAACTATGAGCTTTGTTTGGGCAGGAGACAGAACAGACGGCAGGTTTAATTCCGAAGGGAAAGCAGCAGAGTCGCGCCTCCGTATCTTCCAGATCGGACTCCTCGACTACAACTCCATACTCGCCGTCGTCAATGGTTGCTCCGGCATCTTCCACCTCACCTCTCCCTGCATCGTCGATCAACTGCTGCGACGTCGTTAACTGATATGCATCCAGAACCCAGCAAAAGGACTCCTATCTGGTAAAAGTTTGAAGCTTGCGGCTTCAATTTGAGGAACCCAGCAAGAAATCGAGGACGATATTCGCCGGGAGCGCCGATTCGGGTCTGCCAGCAGCATCCACGAGCTCAATCTCATCTCATCTGCCTCTGATCGTAACTAGCACTGATGACTGCAATCTCCTTGGAAAATTGGCCGAAGACCACAAAGGCAACCGAAAAAAACAGATGGTTCTCGGTCGGAACGTGCACACCACGTACCTCGCCGTGATAGAGCCTGAATCCAATGGCGGTTTCACTGACGATAAGGAGATGTACGTGGCCAGCGTCCTCGCCCGCTTTCGCAAAACCCTCATCGAGAGGACCGAGCACCATCTGGGTTATCCGTACAATTTGGACTTCGACTATGGTGCTCTAACACAGCTTCAGCATTTCTCCATCAACAATTTGGGCGATCCGTTTATCAAGAACAACTATGGTGTCCATTCAAGGCAGTTCGAGGTTGGTGTTCTCAATTGTTTTGCTCGGTTGTGGGAGATTGAGAAGAATGAGTATTGGGGATACATCACCAATTGCGGCACGGAAGGCAAACAGCGTCGACCTTCCACCCTCGCTCCGAATCATCAAGCGGAAGATGCAATGGCAGGAGGGTTTCCGAGAAGCAGGGGAATCTGCGTGCTGCTCTGTATAAAAAAAAAAAAAAAAAAAAAAAAAAAAAAAAAAAAAAAGGCCTTCTCTTCCATGGTGTTCATAATCCGAGAGCTCCATAGCTACACGTTGCAGATTAGAGAGATTCTCTTCTTCGAAGATTTGCAGGGGATTTTAAGCAGGGTGCAGAAGGAGATGCAAACTTCGTTCGTCTGGCTATTTCAACAGGTCTTCTCTCGGACTAAAGGCTCCGACTTTGGGAGCTGCAAAGGGAGCTGGGCGTGGCTTGGGAGTCCGAGAGGTCACTCCTCCTTCGATCATCGACCTCCTTACGGCTGTGCTCCATCTTCAAACTCTCCGAACTCCGCTGCTTCAGCTCTTCAAGCTCCATAGCCGTAGCAACAACATCCACTAACTACCTCGAGCTCGTCATTCTGGCCACCTTGATCAAAATCAACGAAGAGCTTCATTGACCGCTGTCAAACGACTAGCCGGTCTTCAAACTCGACGCCTTACACTCTGCCTCAAGATCGGGCTGCTTCTGCACCTCCGCCATGGCTGCTGCCTTTGAATGTGATCAACAAAATCAAAGTTTGTCAACTCACACCCAAAGATCTCATCCGTCTGCTTGCCTCTGCTGCTGCCTTTGAATGTGATTGACAAAATCAAAGTTTGTCAACTCACACCCAAAGATCTCCTCCGTCTTCTCTCAGACTCGGCCTGGGTTTTCACCCATGAACTCAGCCTTGCAGATGGCCATATAAAGAAAAAGAAAAAAAAATGATGATGTCGGGAAGCATCTTTCAAAAGAATAATAAAAAAAAAAAAAAGCAGCAATGATGATGCTGGAAGCATCTTTTAAAAGAATAATAAAAAATTTAAAAAAAAAGAAAAAAAAAAATATATATATATATATATATATATAATAAAAACAATGATGGTGCTTCTGGAACCATGTGCAAAAAAAAAAAATATATATATATATATATATATATATAATAAAAAGAAAGAAAAAAACAATGGTGGTGCTTCTGGCACCATCTGAAATATATATATATATATATAAATGAATGGTGGATCAGCGCCACCGAAAGCAAAGAAAAGAATAAAAAAAATCTTGGTGATGTACATGTTTTCTCTGTGTTTAGCACAATACACTAAATAAAATGAAGCATGTTCATTGATTTTCGAGAAATTACAAGTGCGAAAAAAAAAAAAAAAAAAAGAAAAGAAATGTATCTAACAAAGAAAGAGAAAGATGGAGCTTTCACAAAGGTTGTTCACGTGAAGCCCCACTATTTGGCCAAACTCCAGGAGCGGGAAGCATCGAAGATAGATCATTCGAGGCCCCAATACTTGGTGGAACGCTTGATGACGCAGGAAAAAGGTGTCTCTGGAAGAAAGACGCAAGCCTTTGGCGGTCACTTTGAATGCGACCTTGAGATTCTTGCATCTCATCAAGCTTCCTCTTCATGCCCGACGAATAGTTATTTGCAAGCACACGCAAACTTCTATTCTCGTACTTAAGCTGTTTAATCTCTTGCTTAAGATCTTCCACCTCTGCCATCAATGATTCCACTTGACAGGACCGAGCAAGCAGGCGTTGGCCCATGTTGGACACAGAGCCCACACACTGAACACTAAGAGCGAGGGACTCTTGAACGGCCAACTCATCGGACCGTCCTGAAAGCAGCCTACTATCTTTTGGTGTAAGGAGGTTCCTAGCTACTATTGTAGCTGTTGTTGCATCCTGCATCACTGAGTCTTCACCTGTAAGAGGACCGTTAGAAGATAAGAAAGAAGGGCGCCATACGTTACTTTGACGCGGCGCACCTGTATCACTGCTGAGACCCAATTCTAAGCTAAGGTTCGATGGGTTAGCCATTTTTTCAAAGGTGTTAAAAGAGATGGGTGGATGGAGTTAAAACTCAAAAAACCGGAGATGATTTTCAGGAATGAGCAACCTTCAAAGTGTGCATGTTAGAGGTGATCAATACCTCTATAAAAAGGAAGAGGAGCTTTCTCAGAAATCGAAGAGGCGCTTGCTCAGAAATCAAAGAGGCGTTGGTTCAGAAATCGAAGGGCCGCTTATTCAAAAGTGAAGAGACATCGCTCTGCAAATCTCAAAAGCTGGATTTTCCAGCGTAAGTTAGGCGACGCTTTCTTGGCTTTCCAGAAAACGCGTTCAACTTTGTCAAAAGATCTCCGACAAAGTTGAAAACACGTGGAGGTTGGCGACGCTTTCTCGGCTTTTCAGAGCACGGGTGCCACTTTGTCAAAAGATCACGTGGAGGTCATCATCGCAGCTATACATCTTTAGCTGACAAGCGCAAAGTTCGGCGACGCTTTCTCTGCTTTTCAGAAAACGCGTGCAGCTTTGTCAAAAGAGGCACTCGTTCAGAAATCGAAGAGGCGTCGTTCAGAAATCAAAGAGGCGTATTCAAAGATCGAAGAGTCGTCACTATTTCAAAAAGCCGGATTTGCCGGATCAAAACGTTTGTCGACAAGGGTAAAAGAACAGTACCACCACTTGCTATTGGGAAATCCCTATATATGTCAACCTTCATCTTTTATGGCAAGGCAGACCTGAAGATAATGCCCAACTCTTCCTCACCTCTGAGGGCGCACTCCCAGCAAAGCCTTTCGAAATACTCAATTTTTTCTTCTTCCCCAAAGATGATACCAGATGCCTGGAGTACAGATGACCCAGGAGGAAACGGTAGATGGAAGCATGTGCTGATTCATTCACCGCTTCTTCAAAAGCAAAGGTATCTCATATCATCAAGGGCGAAAGCAAAGCTATCTCATATCATGCTTTTCCCCTATCTTTTCCTTTGCCCTTGTTCTCAGCTGCCAAGACAAGGACAGAGAAAGCAATATGTCGGAACCTCCACTCAAACTTGCGCTTCCACCAAGAAGTAATGGTTCATTCAAATGCAAGGTTTGCATTCAACTCCTGCATCAGGAACAAATACTACAAGAGAAGATGCCAAACCTGCATAAGGAAATACCACTTCTGCAAAGGGAGCAAGTAAGGCAAGTGAAAATGATACATCAAAGCATGTGGAGACAAGCACAACAAATATATATGCTGATTCATTCGCTGCTTCTTCAAAAGCAAAGGTATCTCATATCATGCTTTCTCCATGTCCTTTCCTTTGTCCTTGTTCTTACTCGCATAGCAAAGTGAAAAGAGCAATCAGCCGGCACTTGGAGTCAGTCTTCCGATCTACCCTCTTCAATAAGAATTGGAAAGATTGAACAAAGAAACAGGTCATCACTTCCACCTCGTGCTTGCCTGCCATGTGTCTGAATCCTGCTACCCAGTTCAAGAGTAGCACAAAGGAAAATCAATGATAGGGGGAGACCAAAAGAATCCTCCAGCCCAGTTCAAGATCAAGCCTCGATGGCACTTGAAGAAATCACAAGTCCGATTCAAAATCAAGTGTTCACCATCCTTGAATCAAATTCAACTCCAAATAAAAAGAGTAAGTTCAGACCTTCGGAGGAGACCAAAAGAATCCTTCAGCCCAGTTCAAGAGTAAGCCTGCGGAAAATCAACGATTGGAGGAAACCAGAAAATCTTCCCGTCGAACTCAAGATCAAGCCTCGATGGCCCTTGAAGAAATTTCCAGCCCAATTCAAGATCAAGCCTCGACGGCCCTTGGGTTGACATCTACATTAAGGGACTTCAAAACGCATCTTCTACACGTAACAAGCACATGTCTACGACGCGCCTTGAAGTGGGGGCATTTGTAGACATCAAAATTTCGGTGAAATGAATGTTGACCAATAATTAAAATTTCAACGCTCACGTATCACATAAATTTTACATGTAGCGTGTGACTCAACGAAAAATCGAAATAAATTGGAAAAGTCATCAAATAGGACACGTGTCAATACCTGGCAGAAATGATTTATTTCATCTGATTATTTAAATCCAAAAATCAAGTTTTAGAATTCTATAAATAGGAAGCCAAGGCATTCATTTTGAAGAAAGAAGGAAGAAAGAAAGGAAGAAGGAAAAGAAGAAAAGAAGGAAGGAAGAAAGAAAGATGCCTTGAAACTCTAAAGCTCTCAAGCAAATCCCGAAGGATCAAGAAATCACTCTGCGTTCTTCGTCAAATCCTCCTTCAAGGTCAAGCCCCAACGCCCTTGAAGAACTTCCACTAACTCAAGATCAAGCCCCGACGGCCCTTGAAGAAAGTGTTCATCGCTCATCATCCGTTCATCCTAAGATCAAGCCCCAACGGCCCCTTTGGATCAACAACCTCAACAAATCCACACATCCAATCAACCTTCAAGATTAAGGCCAGAAGCCCTTGAAGATCCGCTCATCCATCAACCTTCAAGATCAAGCCCCGACGGCCCTTGAAGAACTCCAACCAATTCAAGATCAAGCCCCAACGGCCCCTTTGGATCAACAACCTCAACAAACTCATACACCCATTCTTCAAGATCAAGCCCAACGCCCCTTGAAGATCCATTCATCAACTGTTCATCCTTAGATCAAGCCCCGACGGCCCTTTGGATCAACAACTCATCCACAAACCCACACCCTACGAAGATAGAATCAAAGGACCAAATTACAAAGAGATTGTAACCCCAAAATCATTAATACAAAAAAAAATATATTTTGTACACGTATTCTTGTCGCTTGTTTCAGGAATTTCTCGTGTTTACATTGTCATTTGGAATTAATGAGGAGATCTTGGGTTCAAAACACGATGTGTGCTTATTTGTTTTTTAATTTTTACAAATTTTGTTTCATAAGAGTATAAATATATAAAATTTGGCTAAATGATCAAGAAGTTTAATTAGAATCAATGGTTTTTGTTGTTTAAAATTACCTAAGTAAAATGCTAAGTGCGTGTTTATTCTTTTCAATTTTTACGAATTTTTGTTTGGTTGTTAATTTATTTTTAATTAATAGCTAGTAGCTATGTGGGTTGTTATTTTTAAATATTTATCCCTAATCTTCCACAAAGAGTAATGCATTGACCAAATTTACAAATCATATAACGTGTCATCAAAAAGTTTAATTTATTACCAATTTATTACTTATACATATCAATTAAAGACTCAAAAATATCATTATTTTTTTAGTCCCATATTGAAAAGGTCAGTAAATAAGAAAAAAAACATCATGATTTATACAAAAACATTTTAAAAGTTCAGATGAAAAACAAAACTCATATCTATCTACTTGTAAACCCAGAGTTTTTTTGTTTCTTCTCATGATACAAAATAAATTAGTTTTTCCTTATTTCTAAATTATTAAGTTTAAAGTGTTTTTCTAAGTATAATTTTATTGATGTCTTACGTGTGAAAACAAATAATTTTCTTATATAAAGTGAGGGCACATTATTTGACGTAGCCCCGGGCCTAAAAAATCTCTAAACCGGCCCTATTTACCACTCCTGTGGACCATATGAAATGTGATTTTATATGTTCATATAAAAAAAAAAATGAAATGATCAGCCATTGGCGTGCATGAATCCCTACAAAATGTTAGCTTTGATTTCTCGTATGGCGTAGATTATGGAAGAATTTGCTATTGTTTTGTTGCAGGTTTGAATCCATCTTTGATGCAGTTTTGTGCAATTTTAAACGGTAATTTTTTTTCTCAAAAACAGAATTGAAACCGCTCCGAACCGAATCAAATGGTTTGGTTTCATTTTGATTTTGACTTCAAAACCGCACTGAACCGAACCAAACCGAATTGAAACCGCATCAAACCGTACTCACCCCTACAAATGATAAAGAAGTTAGACTACAAGGAGGTCTCGGGTTTGAAACACTATATGTGCTTTTTTATTTTCCAACTTTTACAAATTTCTTTTCATATGAGTTTAAACTTATGAAATACAACTAAAAGATCAAGAGGTTTAATCAGAAGCAATGTTTTTGCTGTTTAAAATTAAGGAACTTCTATTTTTGGTTTGCATCTCTTGATATAAAATAAATTAGTTTTTCCTTGTTTCTAAATTATTAAGTTTGAAATGTTTTTTAAAATGATTTTATCGAAGTCTTATGTGTGAAAACAAATAATTTTCTTTTATGAAGTTAAGGTACATTTTTTGGTGTTACCCCAGGTCTTAAAAATCTCAGGACCGGCCCTGCCCCTACCAAATTGCCCAAGCAATTACTGCCCAGTCTATTGAGCTAAGGTAATTCTATCTTAGTTAACAATAATTGCCCAAGTGCATCTCCACCCCTAAAATGAATTGTCCAAGCGATTCGTATTAAAATATTATTTTAATGAATAATAAAAATAATTTAATGTTTAATTTCGGATATGATTTTTAAGCAATCTTGTCTGTCACGTGTTATTATCCGAAAATACAATTTATCTGGATACATTTTCAACCAATCTCATAGGTCCAAGTGTCATGATCTTGTATTTTTTTTAATTTCTAAGTTTATTTTCTAAATTTTTTTATATCTTTTATTTCATCAAACTTCATTAATATAGACTGTTGGATTGTGCCATCACCCATAGTAACTTTGAATTTTTTTTTTCTGATTTTTCTTTTATTTTTTTAATTTTTAAAGTTGGAAATACTTGGACCGTTGATTATAAATCTTACAGCCCAAGTTTGGACACATGTCCTAGTCGTTGGGATGGATTTGAGTGCGACTGCAAGTGTGCCCCGCCATCTGCTTTTGGTTGGCTCACTCTCCTTCTTTTGTGCATGAAAGTCATGTGCTTGACAGAGAAAAAAAAAAAAATTAAAAACGTGATTGACGTCAGCCTTATGTAAGATCACTTCATTCAATGGGCTAGGCAATTCTAACCCGTGTGGTTTGTCGGGCACCACTAGAGCCCAGTTGATTGGGTAGGGCTGTAGTGATTTTGGGGAGGTTGGGAGATTAGGTTGCCTAATCTTAAGCTATTTTCTTGGAGTGAGGTTGCTCTAAACACAACCATTTGGCCCGTGGCTAGCCTGATAGCCTATTTTAAAGGTACTGCATCCACTCAAATTTTTAATGTAAATTTTTTATTCAAGCTCTCCAATGATTTCATGTTCCCACAAAAGAAAATAAAAACAAGAGTCATTGAGGGCCTCCAGTCTAAAGATAAAAATTTGTTTAACAAAATAAATATATGAGAGTAGACAGTAGAACGAATATTACTTGTCACTGGGTTCAAATAAAGTTTCTCAAAACTCTCTTAGGATGAGCGTTTTTATTCTTCAAAAGAAGAAAGCACTTGTGCGAGGTCATTCACCAATTCGAGATGATGTATTTAATTAGAATTCACTTACTACTGTAGTCCAGTGGTGTTCCTCTTTCCTTATAAGTGAGAGGTCTTAGCTTTGATTCTCACGAAAGACAAATTTAAATCATATTATTACTAGCCATTGTAAGGCTAAGCCTATTCCTCTCCGCTTTAGTGTAAATGATACCATTTGTTCAAAAAAAAAAAAAAATTAATACGAGAGACAAACTCAATTACCCAAGGAATGAAGGAAGAGGAGAGATTTTGCACTTATTTCTCAATCTCTTTCAGTTTGCTGCTTGCTCCTTGTTTCACGTTTTCTTTTCAGTTGGTAATAACCAACATGAAAATCATTTACTTTTCATTCTTTTCTTCGACTTGCCATCTCTACAAATCCAAAAAAACAAATTCAAAAAACAAGTATTTACAAGCAAAAATGGAGACGATGATCGGGTTAAAGAGAGAAAGAGATAAGAGAGAGAGACGAACCGGAAAGAGTGATGCTTGGAAGGTTTAGGGGTTCTCTTTGCCATTCGTCGAGCAGGGGTCGTGAGAGAGGTTTTTTGACAAGCAAGGAGAAAATGCTAACTGAGTATTTGCAATAACCCATTTATACGGAGGGTAATTTGGTCATTTTAAGTTTCAAGAAAATTTATGTGCACATCATTTGCGTAGCCTGTGCATATCCCAAAAATCCTATTTTAGTCTCAAGATATGGAAATGGCCCATTTCTGTCAATTTCTCTATATTATATTCCAACTGTATTTGCCGGCAATCATCCTAATAACATAAATATAAGCTCAAAACAAAGAGGACAAAACTATATCATTGAATCAGACTAAGCAGTAGGATCCAAAGCATATACATATTGTTGCTGTATGAATGAACTAACTCAACCTATGACAGCATATGCCCTCAGCCCTCTCTGGTTAGTAGGCAAGACCCCACTCTAAACGCGCAGGGCAGGGCGGAGCGTGACGGGTAGCAAAAATCACCTTCAAAGACGAAGATGACAGCCGCCTCCGCTTCTATCTTGAAGACCAAGAAAAACAAGGAAAAGAAAAAATAACAAGACAATTACAACAACAAAAGAGATGCTGTTAAATTAACTTTTCTATCCCACTGTGAGTCCTAATTTTCTGCATTTCGACGCAGCTTCATAGTTTGCAAAAGGAAATGAAAACCGCCATGAACCAGACTTTCCTACATTGAAACTAATCATAATACAAATCACCCGTCTCTGTGTAGGTGAATTTGGTAACATAGTTTAATTACAATAAAACAACATGTGTCCGGTCTCAAGAAACTTCTCTTTCGTTGCCCTTGCATGTTTCGAACTTCATTCAGGGACGATTCATCTGCATACATTGACAGTAAAATGAAATTTAATTCAAAAGCTTGGGAAAGATAATCAAAGTTATAATCCAATTACCCTAAACCCTATCTACAATAATCAAAATTAGAACACAGAGAGAGAGAGAGTAGGCATGTATGGCCTCATCATAATCATTAAACAAAAAAATAAATGCCAAACTAGACTGAACGCCAGATATATCCACAACTACTACAATGACAGTTCAAATATATATTAGAACGATCTACAAATACAGAATACGTGTGTTCGTTGGAGTGCAGTTGCAAAGAGAGGTTCTGGGCAGTGATGAACATAACTTGTGTTTAACAACAAAGGGGATTTCTCTAATGGTAGTAAAGTAAATAAACTCATTAAGCAAGCATTCAGCCCATTTGCACAGGCAGACTTTCAGTTGTCAGAATAATTACTGACTTTTTGCTAAAAGCAAACATAAACTCAAACCAAGATTATAAACTCACTACTTTAGCATTTCAAACCAAGCTGAATCAATAAATTCAACGTAAAAAGGAAAATATGCTATGTGAACCTCACCGTCTTTGTAGCATTGCTTCCTTTTAGTGTCTTCATTGCTGCTTCTGCAAAAGCTTGTGCTGCTTCTGCATCAGCTTCAGCAGCCTCAGCTTCCCTGGCTGCCTCTTCAGCTTCAGCAATGGCAGCTTCTGCCTCTTTCACTGCTTGAGCAGCAGCTAAAGTAGCTTCCCTGGGGGTCATAGTCCTCATCTTCGCAAGCTCCAAATCAATTTGGGCTTTCATCAGGATGGTACCCTCATCATTTTCAAATTTTGGAGACGCCATATACCTTCCCTCAAAAGGAGACAGCATTGGTCTTCCCTCAAAAGGAGATGCCATACGTCTTCCCTCAAAAGCAGACGCCATCTGTCTTCCCTCAAAAGGATACATTGAGGTATTTCTTCTTTTTTCGGATAACGCTGGAGTAGGTGCAATCCTGTATCTGCGTTTTACCTGTCAAAACAAAAACACAAACTAGTAAGATCAAACTCTAATCAACTCTAACCATATCCAATTCCAGGGTTAACATCCCTTGAGGAATATCAAATCATAAACTAGCGTCCTTTCTTTTTTTCACAAAGAAAATCCCAATTGAAGCACATGGACAAGTCAGTAATGTAGACCAAGTAAATTATATATCCAAGTACCAGCAAGCATTAGATATCATAATATCCTCGATATTTATCCGTCTAGCAAGAATCAATATTAGATACAATGACATTTTTTTTACACTCCATTCAAAATTTCCATCCAACTTACACTGATATCAATATTTTCTTGATTTCCTCAACATTTCCATACTTTTACGTAGTAAATATGTGCATCAATACCCCATTATTTAAATAAAAAATAACCATATATAAAAACGTATTTAAAAGCAGAATATGGCATTTACATTTCCATTTTTTGTCCAAGATAAAAAACCAATGTGATCAAAGATTCTCAAGCCTTAGACAAACTCTCTTGAAGCTGTGATTCATAAATCATGTCTTAACACATCCATTTACTTATGTAAAAGTTGGTTTAGTATAGTATTGTATCAGATAAGAAGATGTAGGTGGATGATTTCAATAAAGTTTTAATATGTGAGTAAATTAAAATTTTACAACAATTCAATCACGCATATCTTCACTGCATTCAAAGTTTGGGGAACAATAAGCAGTCAAAAGAACGCGGCTTTTTTTTGTTTATCTACCAAATCTAAGAAAAACTAAGGTAAAATTCTCAATCAATCATTCTACTACCATGGAAAAATCAAAGCCCAACTCTGAGTTGTCAACATGCAAACATGGACCACGAAAGAAAGTAATAAACATAAAAGTAAACCAATCATATCAGAATCCGACAAATTAAGACCCCACTAAACCTATATCATGGGACCACTACAGAAACACTGAGATCGAACAGAAATGCTTATCTTGAAGCCCTAAGCCCTAACATAAAGGGGGAAAATCAAAGTGGGCAACAGAAGGAAAGAGAGAGTCAAATGCAGGGAAAAGAAAAATACCGACTTGAACCTCTGCATCCTTCGCCACAAAGCAAGAGTACTGTGTTCTCTCTCGCCCTTTGTTTTTGGCCTTATCCCCAAGGCCAACAATGAAAACAAAAAAAGGAGGGATACTACTAGGTAAAAAGAGGAAAGGTGGACTGAGAGAAGCAGGAAAACCAAGGAGATATAATATACCCGTTTAGATACCTACCTTTTGCCTTAAAAGGTAAAGTTCTTTTCAATTCAAGATATCCAGATACCGATTTATTCAAATAAAGAAAAAGTTCGGGAGATTTATGGAAAATACAATGCGTAAAACTATTTTTATTGAATTTAGAGAGCATAAAAGAAGAATAGACCTACACTCGTACAAATGGAGTGTTTAGCAGTCTGACCAGATCGGTGGAACCATGGGAAAAGGCACTACATGGGCCATAGAAAAGTGCAATTTATCGTGTGATCAATCAGATCTCAAATGATTAAAAATAGAGAAAATCTAGGATGAAAAAACCTGCAAGACTGTTTAAATAGTTGATCTCCTAAACCTCATTAATTAATTCCGGAAATTACCATGTACAGGAATTTCAATCAGAACAAGCATAAAGTTGCCAATCACCTATGAAAATTTCTTCCTTTCATGTGTAGAGTAAATTGACATAGTTATTAAAATTATTCGTGTCATGTGGCACGTGTAATGAACATACGCTCCCACACCCAAATCGACAGTTTGATCTCCCTACCCCTTTGGCCCCATTATTATCAACCAGAACTTTCTAGTATGCGGCATATTCCCAAATGATCCTTCTTTTTGGAGTACACATTCCAATATGATGACAAACCTCGGAAAACGTAACCTTTTTATACATGTGTACATCATTTGATTACTTGCCGTACAACAATCAAAAACCACATTGCATGCAACAATTCTGACCTTTTAAGTCCAACTTACTTGTAAGTGTATAAAAATGACAACTCCATGCACATTAAGTAATCATTAATTGTTTGTTCCACAAAAACCACATAATCTAACACCAATAAAAAACCCATAAAAGCTATACATATAGGACAACGTTTTGAGATTATTAGACCACAATATATTTACCTTAATCAATTTACGGCTTGCTGTCAAGTATTTTAATTTTTCAGATAATAGCCTCTTGAAATCTTGAGGAGCGAAATATTCGTCCTACAAAATAAAATCTCTGAAAGTGAGCTGATTACACAAAATGACAGCAAGAAAATAATGCTAGCATATTACACAACTCGATAGCATAAAATGACAAATAGATGTAGCCTTACGTAGCATAATTATTGTTAAAATTATTGTAGATGTTATTCAGCTTATTCAGCGGTATGAACAAATTGAACTATAACCTATCTGAAGTATCTGATTTCGTGTAATTAACCTTGGGAGGATATACAAGTTCGTATCAGTGAACCCAGCGTAGATGTCATTTGTGCAGTGTTGCAAAATGTCAGTTTATTTTTGAAGTTTAAGAGAGGGAGGGGCTTGCCTTGCAATAGAGGCATTGTTTTCATAACCACTCTTCTTGACAAGGGTAGGCTATCATACGCGGGGTTTACTTTACAACTTATGTTACACTAGGAGATGAAACTGGACATTCAAAGTTAACGAGACCTGTGCAAGAACTCATTTCTCTTGGAAAAGGTGTATGGACTAAACACAGGTCCAACGACTCTTTAAACTTTTTTTTTCTTTTTAATTTCTTAAACTTTAATGAATTTGAAACCCAAGAGAGCAATTCATGACAATGTCAATAACAATGTCCACTTGTCTTGAACCATGATATGACTGAAGGCTATTGCATTACCAAATATTGCCAATCTCCAAGCTTATTAATCAGTGGATCCTTGGGGATTAAATTACATTCACACTTCACTACCTTTTGCATAATTCTTGAAAGCAAAAAAGGAGATAAAATATCCTCAAGGAATCCAAACAAAGAGTAATAAAGAAAGCAACGCATAATATAAAATTTAAAGCTAAATATCCGCAACCAAAAAACTGATGTGTGTAATAAGGATGTCTGAATATTATACAGAGCCTCCCTGCAAGGGGCAATGAAGAGAGGGTTCCACGTGCACCATCAGCTTAATATATGTTCCTTTTTTTCTTTTCTTTTTTTATGTGGCTGGCAATTGTTCTTATATTCCCAACCCTGATGCTTTCTAGAACAGCAGTGAGAAGCCCCATATAATCGAAATGCAATAAACTCCCTTATTTATTCACTATGAAAATATTAGCTGAGTGAGCACTCTGAACTACATCACTAGCTCGTGATATTTTTCAACTTCATGAAACATTTAGTAAATGGTTTGATATAATCAACCAATTTATGACCAGATACTAATGAAGTGGGACGTGCCATAGAAAATTGCAAATACCATATATAATTTTTGTCAGACATAGAGGCTACCTCTATATATCCAGCAATAGTCGTTTTATTAGATCCACCAGGCTCCTTCAACCTAGTTATAGCTTCCATGATAAGATTGTCCAGCCTACAAGCATTAACAACAACAATTAGGCATCAAAGTTACAGCAGAATTTAAAATTTTGAAGTATGACTAGAAAAAAAAAAATTGAATAATAGCTAGTAGGCTGATTTAATTGAATAATAACTAACTTATAGTCTATAATTGTAAATGATAAAATAGCAGCAACACCTATGATAATTGCAAATAAAAAAGACACCAGAAATTTTTATCTTTAATACCACGATTATTTCAGTGCTGAACAAAAGGAATGAAACATTTGTAAGTATCCCCCAATCTAATGTTATTGCTTAACTATAGAGATTATATAGTCAACTTGGGAAAAGAAGTTATGAATTCAAAAAGATGACCACTGTCCTTTTGCTTTTGTGCCCCTTACAAATTAAATATGTCCATTACTATTGTTCAAACAACCAGTTCTCTATTGTTTTATAATATATAATTGTTTGTTCAAGTTAAGGGGCCGCCATGTACTTGCAACAGTAAAGATCAGTCCAGTTCACAAGGAAATAGAAAAACCAGGTAAGTGTCTACAAATCATGGAATAAGAGCAAGCATCTCTCTAGTGAAATCGATCAAGAGGCCATAACATACCTACTGAAGGAGTTCATGTATGATACATTAAATTCAATACACATAATGCTTGTGTATATGCCAATGACAGTGATTTAACACTCTGGAAGATTTTAGACACCCCATTTGATTTTGTATATCTTCTCAATTAAGCAGAACCCTAACACCTTTAAAAATGAAGTAACTAGTTGGACAATTGATTGATCCAAGAAGCATTGATGGAGGGTGGACGGAACAACAAACCCGCCTTCAGCCTATCACAATCCACAGTAAACTACAAATAAACAAATAAGCCATGCAACAAAGATTACTGGTCCACAACATTTAGCATTTCAAATTATGAAAAATTTGGACAGAGAACTCAACTAGTGAACTTCTGAATCGTAATAAGAGTCACACACAAAATGCTCCTACATGTCAACAAGAGAGATGCAATGCTGGGTACATTTCAGTTTTAATATTTTATTTAGAGTTCAATCAGTTCTCCCATATCAAAATGAAGCCACTAATCTCGCACAACTAACCAATCTAAACCCTTCAAGATGTCATGAATGACATTAACAAACAAATCAACCTGCTGAATTGCACAAGAGTTATTGGTCCTCAAAAACTGAATAGAATATATCAGATGGGCAATATTTAATTGCGAGATTTGGCAGTGACTTTTAAAAACAAGAATTCGAAAGTCCAGAAATCTGTCTAACCTCACAATAGATTTTCTGGGACCAGAAATATGCTGGGTCTCACTGGAAACTGAAATAGGCTTAGCATCCATCATTTCATCATCGCTTTGAACAGTAGTACTGAGAGGAATAGAGCTTTCATCCTGTTTAGAAATCTGGTGCATTCTTCTAAGTGCTGTCTTCGCTTTCTCTCGAGAGCCCCATCCATTTGCCATGACACTCATATTTCTCCACTTATCCTACCGACGACGGTACAAAATAAAACTAAATACTCCATACGAACACAGACCAGCAAATAGTTTCAAAAATGTATTGAAGACTTGATAAAAGCATCGGTACACTTCATGTCCAACAAAATGAGTAGTACAACAAGTATATAGTGTTAAAAGAACCCTACCTTAAGATCTACATTTGAGCGAGTATACAGAACGCCACTAAATTCTGGATCTTTAAGTATGGTCCGCCATTTTCCTGCGCCATGTTTAATAACTCCAGCTTTAAGGGCTAATTCTTCTTCCGCCGTCCATTTCTGCTTAGGAGCACCCATAGGGGGTAACACAGAGGAACTCCGCCACAGAATCAATCTGCAAATCGACTTAAGTAAACACATCAAAAATCGAAAAACAAACACCACTAAACGTTCAAAACTGAAAAGCAGTGTAAACGAACACCAGTAATTATTATTATTATTATTCATACGCTAAAAGGCTAAAAGCATCCATAGCAAAATACAACAGCCGAACGTGAAATTTCCATACCACAGAAACACAACAAAACCTAAATTCCCAGCATTTATTCAAAAGGGAAACCCAAGACAATTCAATTTCCCAATCAAATGTCACGAATATGTTCAAATCACCTCGAAAACTCAAGAATCCAGACAATAAGAATCGAAATTACATGAAGCAATACGGAAAGTTACCAGAAATCGGCGTCTGATTCATCGAATTTCAATATGAATTCGATTGCCAAGTTTAAATTCAATTCGGTGGTCAGGGCTCTGAGATTTGATATGAATTCAGTTTAGAGGGTCCGGGGAAGTTGAAGCGGTTGGTCGCAGCTCTCTCGCGTCCACCTGGGATTTTTGCGGATCGACACGAAAAATCAGTTTCAGGCCTTGCTGGCCAAGAGGGACATGCAATTTCCGTTGTGCTCTGATATGGCAGTGACGTGTACAAAGGGCGCTCGTGTGTGGGGCTCCGGAGCTATTTATCTGTTACACGAAAATTTTGGCACACCATATTTTTCAAGTTGTGATTTTTTTTATTTTTTTATTTTTTTTTATTTTTATTTTTAAGTGGAGAAGGACAATTCGAACTTAAATATGTTGAAATATTATTAAAAAGTTGAACTAGTTCGAGATATGCTCTAATTTTGATATTTATATTATTGCGAGTTTAAAGTACGGATGTGATGTGTTGTAACTTATATAAGTTGTTAGATTATTATTTTGAAATTTCGTTAATTCAGCTAACTTTTAATTACTATTTTAGCAACAACAAGGAAGAAACGGTGCCGGCGGGGATAGCGGGCAGAAGGCGTGAATGACAATTTGTTTCTTATATGCTTAGAATAAAAAATTATAAAACGAAACAACGAGGACAATGAGATGCAAGAATCATCATCATCATCATCATCTAATGGATCGAACTAAAACCTTTTCTTTAAAGAGCTATCCATGAATAAATGAGTCTCAATCTTTCCTATTCTTCTACTTGTTCATTTCTTCACAAGGTGTAAAAGTATTTTGAAAAATCATGAAACTTTTTTTGTTTTTGCCAACGTTCAAATGTATTTGATAAAGAATTACAAATATGAAATCTTAGCCATAAATTTCCAATTATAAAATTTATCTTTCATTTTTTCACAAGGTGTAAAAGTATTTTAAAAAATTATGAAACTTTTTCGTCTTTGCCAACATTCAAATGTATTTGATAAAGAATTACAAATATGAAATCTTAACCATAAATTTCCAATTATAAGACTGAGGATAAAATCAAACTTCTTAGGTTAGAATCAAATCAATTGACACGGCTAATTGAATGACGTTAAACTTAGGAATGTACAAATATTGAATATTTGGGGGTGTATTTAATTAGGATTCTTAGAGAGTTTCAGGGAATTTAAATCTACAGAATTTGAGAGAGTTTGAGAGAAAAAAAAAAAAAATGAATTCCCAGAGATTTTGAATGAATTAATTATAACTTCCAGTTCACATGAATTGTGAGAGAATTCTTTACATGGAGTTAGAGAATTGTAGAGAATTTGATCAACAATTTCCTTCTCATTACAAGCCAAAATTTTCATCCTACTAATACCAAATCGCAATACCAAGTTCACATCCAATGTTTTCAACTAACTATCAAAGGTGACAAGAAGTCTATAAAGATATACAACCTTGACCCAATTTGGCCCTACTTCCATATTAGCTGTCACCATGCCATGTAATTTCATACACACATTAAGCAACTTACGTCATGCAAGTCCGAAGTTATATCGCTGCTCTCAAGGTGTTTCCATACTCCAATTCGTAAAAACAATTAATTCTCTATTTCTCATCTTTGAATGCTATCACTCACAACATCTGTCCACATATTTGTAGCTATGCCAGCTCTCCATGCATTAGCAATTTGTCGTTGTTGCTCTTGAGTTTGATTACCTAGTTCATCATCATTTTCTTCATCTTCAGATTCATCATCTTCCAGTCCGATTGGAAATTCATCAGAACAACACTCCTTGCGAAGAAAGTTGTGCAACCCTGCACAAGCTAAACACTAACTCTACTTGTGTTTTAATTGGAAATGGAGGTGCAGACTTAAAAATTGTGAATCGAGATTTAAATACACCAAATATCCTCTCCACTACATTTCTCAAGGAAGCATGTCGAAGATTGAACAACTCATTCGCATTTACGGGGTCACGATCATTACCAGCAAAATCTTGGAGATGATATCGAACACCTTGAAACAGAGCTAAAATTTGACGACGATTTGCAAATCCACAATCCACTAGAAAAAATTTACCTAAAATTAAAACACATAAAGTTATTATTTATGGTACATCCTACTGTAAATAAATAAATAAATGAATGAATACAAACCTTCTGGCACTTTAAGTCCGTTCCTCCTTGATACAGCATCATGTAATAGTTTGGAGTCATGAGCTGAACCCTCCCATCCGCTAAGAATATATACGAATTCCAAATCAAAGTTACAAGCAACTAATACATTTTGTGATATTTTACCATGACGATCACGATAGCTTGCTACTTCGAGTCCCAATACCATTGCTGGTATATGTGTTCCATCAATAGCTCCAACACAATCCTAAAATAATTATAAGAGTCAATACATAGCTAAGAATATGTTTGTGAAACAAGTTTAATCAGGACATGGTTAAGATAAGTACTAATTACTAACCTTAAAATAAGGGTAAAATCTTGTACTTTCTCTTATTTTAGTAGGCACCGTGGATCTAGGTTGGACCATCAAATCTGGTGCAATTGTGTTCAAGGCCTTCAAAACATTGTTGAAATTTTTGCTTGTTGTAAAATGTGACTGCCAAAATGTGTCCCGAGTTTGGCAATATCGAGAATTTTGACCAATAGTGAGTGGAAATGTAGCAACCATTTCTTCAATACAAATAAATCTTGCACCCTTCAAATGCGTCTTTTCCGTAAGGACGTCATATAGCTTTAAGAAAACATCCAGATACATCCTATATAGCACTCGAAATTCTTGAGGATCCTCATTCAATACCTTGTTAATATAATCGTATCCAGTTCTACTAATAGGTCGTCGAGCCAATGGACGTTCAATATGATCATCATGTATAATAACCATTAACGCATTTAGCACTTGAACTATTGCTTGTATTGCCATCAATAGTAACTTAATGGCTTCATGATATTCTTCATCTTCTCTTTCCATTTCCTCTTCAGACATGTTTTCAGACATTATATAAAGAATCACCTAAAAAAACAAAACTATATCCATTAGAACATAATAGAGAGAAAGGTAAAGAAACAAACTACTTCTCATGCAAATAACTCATTCCTCTGCAAGATATCAAAAGATAAGTAGTGGGGAAATATCGAAGTACAATACATGATTTTGCTTTCACAACATGAATCAAGCAACCAACTGTTCAACATCGTAGCTTTTAATGGTCGATCATTCATTTAGTATATAGTCTCTCTTCATTTGTTAGCTAAGGAAATACAGAACGAGATAATCAAAGCCAATTCAAACTAGTACCACACCTTGCAATATCAAGTGCAAGTTTTATAGCTATGAAATATACTCTTCGTACTATTTCGAAATACAGAAAAATAAGAACTCAGAAAATAACCGAAACTTATACAGACCATGGCATTAATATTCCATGTTAAGAAGACCAATGGAATGGGAAAATACGTTGGGCAAATAAACAAACTACTTCTTCTATCATTTAAACCAAAGTCAATGTATGATCAAACAAATTAGATACTCCAAGATCAAATTTGAAATAACCAAACCAAAGTCAACATGTTATCAAACAAAAGTAAACACTCCAAGATGTAAACAAATCTAAAATAACCACATTCGCTCCACATTGTATTTTATCCATTCTGAGCGTTATTCTGGTGTCATTTTCAAGAACTCTTTTTTCATTCCTAATTTTTGAACCAACGCAATTGCTTTGTAACGACTAGGAGCATCCAAGTTTGGAGTCTTTTTGATAGCATCCCACACATTGTTGTTTTTCTCCTATTCTTTTTTCTCCATTTCTTTTTTTACTCTATCTTTTTCTTTTTTCGCCATTATGCAATGAATTCCTTGAATTTCAGGCAATTGCAGCAATCGAATCCATTCCAACAAAAACTTTTTCCATTAGAAAGATATGAGAGGTAGTCCCATTTAATTTTGGTTCAGACTCAGGTCGAGATCTTTTCCTTGGAAGTAGCTTTTGTATAGGTGTAGCAGCAGGAGCCTCAAAATTTGCATCTAGGAAAGATGATGCATAGTATGACCTTTGGAATAATGGATCAAGTTGCTCGACGTTCTCATCAAAGGGAGGAAATTCGTCTACTCTGACTGGCCTACTTTCTTCAACTCTATATGTTGTGGCATCAGTATCATCACCCAATCCAATCGAGTTATATCCTTTAGTTGTTACATCACCAAAAACAGTCATCAAATCTTCATAGTCTGCAAATGTCTCTTCGCGAATACCTTGACTCTTTGGGTGAGACTAGCAAAAATAAAAACATAATAAAATTGTTAAATACAAAATGTATAAACATGAAAGATCATCATGTGTAAATAATATATTCTTTAAAAAAAAAAAAAAACTCACCCTAAGGAAACCTTCCCATACTTCATCACTAGATGTGAACTTCTTTGTGACAAGGTCCCAACCAAATCCAGAACTATGTCTAAAAAACTGACAAATTGATTGAAATCGACCCTTCAATGTTTTCATATAGTTCTTAACATGATCTTCAATTTTTTTTACACCCAAGTTTTTCATTGAGCGCGGGAACAATTTTGGCTTCTATGGTCTGCTTACTTATTATGCCATTAGCATCACGCCATCCATTGTTTACGACCTCAGCAAGTAGTTGTAACAACATGTTGTTCTCTTGCACGGACCACTGATTATAGTTTCCTTTTGTCTTTTCTTGTTGTGAATCTCCCATTTATAATCTTACTAGATGATACATTATAATAAAACAATGAGACGTGACAATAAAAGCATAACATGATAATAGGGATTACAAGTATAAGTGACTATAAAAAGGATTGGGACAACAGATTGACATGTTATTAACGCAACAAGTATAATGACTATAAAAAGGCATAACATGATAATAACAAATTGATTAATAGGGATTACAAGCATAGTATAAACAACAGATTGACATATAACAAAAAACTGAAAGATAAACAAATCGCTAGAAAAAAAAACCCCACAGAACATATAACAATGCCAACCAAATAAACCCCTAAAATTAAACAAATCGCTAAAAAAAAACCCAAAAAAATAGAAACAAAACCCATAATCCTATACCACAAACGAGCACGAAAGTAATATTACACAACAAGGACACCCTAGAATCGAAGCAGGTGAAGAACAACAGGAGGCTTACAATATTCGAAACAATGGGAAGAAGTTGCAGAGGAAGAAAGATGGTACCTTCGCAAAGAATTTGAAATGACGGGACGGAGACCGGAGAAGACACTCTCTGGAGCAAAGAGCAGTACGCTCAAAATCTCTCAAAGTTTCTAGAGTTGAGGTGAGATTTGCCAAGCTCTTTGGCATTTATACATATCACCTTGAAATCCTCCAAAATCCACCAAATCACAAATCCACTCAAATCCAATTCCTTTTTCAATACACCTAAACTTTTAGAGACTTTCAAAAAGTTATAGTTGAATACACCTAAATTTATAGGGAATTGTAAGAAGTCTTTAAGAATCTCAATTGAATACACCAAGATTTTTATAAAAAATTTGAAATTTCTAATTGAATACCCCTAGAATTATTAATTCCCTAAACTCTCTCAGAATACACCCCTTAATGATAAATTTCCAATTATAAGATGGTTTTTTTTTATTAGCACCCCACAAATTGCTATTTACACCTCACATACTGAAAAAAAAAAAACCCCACACTTACTTTTTAAACTAAACATTATCTTAATACACCCATTTACTCACCCAAATTACCCTCACACCCCACTTGCTATCATACTAGAGCATATCCGAGGAGAAACCAATTTTGAAATGAGAAATGCAACTCTTAAATTGTGACTCTTAGGAGGCAATGCACTAAGAAGCTGCTCATCTCAAGGCCTCCTGAAAACCCCTTCTCTGAGAAAAGCAGCTTTCTGGGAAGAAAAATTGAGGCTTGTCTTTTTGTATGCATGAATGCTCCATTAACATGGTCTAATACATAGTGCTTGCAACAACCCCAAATTTTTTGTCACCATTTTTGACAGCACCCCACATATTCAAACACCAAAATTTCCCAAAAATTAAATAGGTCTTTTAATCAACTTGAACAAAACCCGGATGAAATTGTTGGCAAATTTTTAGAACTGGATGATTAGAATAACCCAAAAATCAAAGTGGTGAGAGAAATAAGAATTAGGGCATGTAAGTCATTTCATATTAGAGCATACAAGGCATTTGATATTTAAATTTTATGTGGGGTGTATTCATCAATATATGGAGTGCCAATAAAACAACCCTTATAAGATATAAGGATAAACTCAATCATTTTAGGTTAGTGTCAAGTCATTTGACACGATTAATTTGAATGATATTCAACAGAATTGAATTGATAAGAAATGTACAAAAGTTGAATCTTAATCATAAATTTCCAATTATAAATGCAAGGATAAACTCAAAATTTTAGGTTAATACCATGTCATTTGACACGATTAATTTGAATGACATAATCAAATTGATAAAAAAAAAATGAACAGATATTGAATCTTCATCATAAAATTTCAATTATAAGACACAAGGATAAACTCAAACATCTTAAGTTCATGTCAAGTCATTTGACATGGTCAATTTGAATGACATTCAAGTGAATCAAACTAATAGGACGAAAACTAGGGCATCCAAAGTTTTTTTTTTTTTTTTTTCCCAATTGAGGAGAGGAGGGCGATTCGAACTTGGGACGTATTTAACTATCATTTGTGATCGCTTGAGTCCCTCCTCCATCAATAGGAACCCCCATCCTTGACCACATGCTCTAGCACAGCCTTTCTCGCGTGAACATCCATAATGAATTTAGTGTGTTTTTGCAAAACTCATAGAAATCAAAAGTCGTTTAGTTATTTAATTGTGACTTAATAAATAGACAAACATTGTGTTATTAATAAAAATAAGAAATTTTCACAATAATAAATATAGTAACAAACAATTTTCGATTTAAGTGAATAATTCTTACAAGGATGACCTATGATTAATAATGACCTAAAAAACAATATTATAGATTACAAGAAGCATTGTGGAGCACGCCCAAGCAAGTGGTTAATGTCGTATGAATTAAATCACTAATTAGCTTTTGAGCACTCATGTGTTATTATTTTTATCTTTCATTTCTTCACAAGGAATGAAAAGCATTTTGAAAAATTCAAGTATAATTTATGGGAGGCTACAATACTTACATGTATTGTATACAATCATCATCTGAAGGTTAATATATGCACATATGAATATATGTATTTAATACAATCACCATCTGATAGTTGAGATGGTGATGGTATTAAATATATGTAAGTATTGTAACAAAATCCATAATTTATAAGGTACGTACAAATATGGAAGCAAATACAATCTTAATCACAAATTTCCAATTATAAAATATGAGGATAAACTCAAACATTTTAAGTTAATGTCAAGTCATTTGTCTCGAGTAATTTGATTGACATTCAACTGAATCGAGTTAATAGGATGAGAATTAGGGCTTCTCCAATTTTCAAAATTTCTATCTTTTTTAACTAACGAGAGAAGGTGATTCAAATTTAGGACTTATTATTCATTCTAAAACCCAAGCATCTATTTCAAAGTCTCAACTAACATTATAAAATCCTCAAACAATCAACACCAATCCTAAAAGTATACAATTTATTAATTAATATCTAGAATTATGATCAATGTAGTAAAACACCTAATTCCAAGTTATTGTGTCAATAAAACCAATATTTAACAACCATCCTACTAAAATTCAATATATGTTGCAGTCCTATTTGTTTAGAAATGTGATCGTGTAAATTCTATCATATCTCTTAGACTAGATATTAACCTGTTAGAATTGTAATCCTAGTGGGTAAGGAATTTAGCTTCCCTACTACTATATGATGATACTTTATGGACAATTTGTTGGAAATGTGCCCTAAAACCAATCATATGATGATACTTTATGGACATTTCACATGTTAAACTAATCTAGTTTAATATTAAGGGCAAACATTATTGTTTGAGCCGTCTCATATAAATGTTATATGCTTAAACGATAAGTCCAAGGAATAAGTGATTGGAAGAATGCGATCTAAAGAAGTTAGATTCATGAGACCATTCTTTCGTTGACACATCCTAAACGTTCCTGATCATAGGATTGTCAATTGGGCATTAACAGTCCGTTAAGATCAGTACGTGCTATGTCTTCTCTCAGGGAGAGTGACTAGTCTCGAGTCATTGGTGTGTGTGACATCAAGACAAGTACGTAGGTGCTCAATAGAGAATGAGTTCACTGAACACGATCAACAAAGAGTTTTCATATTCATGTCACATGAGAACTCATGGTTGGGATAATGCAAATTAGTCTTTTGACCTGAGGCATCACAATTGTCTTGTGGTTAGGTCCTTAATCTTTGATTATGTCAAAGTCACTCCATCATGAGGGTGTCCATGGCATCGTTGGGGTTAAGCCACTTAGCCATGGAGGCAAGTGAATGCACAACAAGGGATCTCTAACCTTCAAACTGTTTGAGGGAGAATACTCTATGATATGGTTTAGAATCTCTGGCCAGAGTATGAATGAGATGTTGGAATGCGTTCCAGATCACATTCAAGGTAATCATATAAGTACAAGATTCACATTGGATAGTAGACATGAATAAACTATCAAACCAAACAATGTGGTCAAGAGTATTGTATTAGAGAAAGACCGTATTGCATTTGTAATCCTAAACTGAATAGGTTCTCCACCTTTTCTGATTAGCTTGGGTAACCATGACATGCTGCTAGGCGTCAACCATGGTTTGTGGAAGCCCTAAAAGTGTATTATCACTAACGGGAGAATTGAAAGTAAGTTTCAATTCACAATCGATTAGAAAGAGTTTTAATCGCCTACTGCCTCGCTAAAAGGAACCTAATGGATCGTTCACCGAGTAAGGTAGAGTTTGAAGAAACAACGGAGATGAGTAAGAATAATTAAATGGTTTAATTATTTATCTAAGGCTAGGATTAATTAATATGTTAATTAATCAAACGAATAAGTTCGTTAAAGACCTCGGGTTAGTTTTGGGCCGCAAGGCCCAATGGGATTTGAATGTCAAGCCCATTAACTCAAGTTGTATGACAACTTGAATAAAACAAAGGGCTTGAAAGCCCAATAAACCTATAGGTGATAGGAGCATATTTATGCGCCTTAGTTAGCTAGTTCTTATGCATTTTTGTTATGTTTTATTCGTTAAAGTAGTCTTTTAAGCTACTTTCATGTGTTTTCAGGTTTAAAGGACATAATACATGAAATGATGCAATTGGGAGCTTTTGGAGCAAAACTGAGCTGGAATGTGGTGTATGCAAATGGAGCACGAGGAATGAACGAGGTTGAAGGTCAAAGGAGCTTAAGAAATGAAGAAATGAAAGTGAAGAGCAAGGAAGTCGGAATTGGTAACCAAAGTTTCTAAAGTTGGAAGTTTCTATTCTTGGAGGTTTCCATTGTCGTGAGTTTCTATTCTTGGCTTTGGGCTTTTAGATGACCTAAACCCTAACCTTAGCCCATTTTAGAGCCATTGTCGTGGGCTTTAGCCCAAGTCCTTTCCCTTGCCATGCAAGGGGGGGCATTTTAGGCGCAAATCCATGCATTAAGCCCTTCACCCTAATTGGCCCAAATCCATGCATTAAGCCCTTCACCCTAATTCTTCCTCCTAATTAGTGCATCCCACCATTCCATTCCATAATTTCCATTAGTGCATCCCACCATTCCATTCACACTTAAATGCCCATTATCCCATTTTTTTTTAGCTTTTAATTCCACACCATCCCATTATCCTTTACATCCACTAAACCATGCATCCACATTCACCTAAATAAACCCTAAATTACATCCACTAAACCATCCATCCACCATAATTCCCACCATCCACACCTTTTCCCATCCACCAAATACCTTAAACAAACATCCATTAACACCCATTCTCTTCCTATAAATACCCATTCATTCCATTCACCAAATCATATCATTTTCCATTGTAATACACAAACACTTCCCCTTCTCCATCTTCTCCATTTCCACTCCATTCCACACTTCCATCCCCCCAACCAACCTATCCTTAAACCTTGTGCTACAACAATGAGGAAGAGAAGAGTGCCTAAACGTTCATACAATTCAAGTTTGAGTTGTTGGAATGTTTAGGTGTTTCTTTGATTTCAAAGTTTCATTTTAATTCTCTTTGTTTTGTACGTATAAGGAATGGAAGAGAAGAGTGCTTAAACGTTCATACAATTCAAGTTTTGAGTTGTTGGAATGTTTAGGTGTTTCTTTGATTTCAAAGTTATGAGGAACTAAACCCCCTTTAGCTAGGGGGTGATTCGAAACTATGTTTATATTTGCAATATGAATTGATTAACTTTCGTTGGAATTTCATAAGTTGTGGATTCAATTTGTTTAACCGTTTGATTGATAACTTATTTATGAATGTTTATTAAGAATGCGCGCTTAATTTTCATGCATAAATATGACGCTAGAATATAAGTGATTTTCACCTAATCGTTATGAACTTATATTCACAAGTAGTGGAGGTTGCTTATAAACAATCGCG